CCCGCGCTCAGCGCCGACGTGGCACTGGTCCAGTACGTGTTGGAATCGGCAGCGCAATACCGAGTCAGAGGAGAGCCCGCTGGCGATAAGGGACAAGTCAGGCTGGACGGCGCTGCACTAGGCCCAGGGTTGGGAATTAAGTCATTTAAGTCACTCGTTAAGTCAGTAAAAAAGTCACAGTTTAAAGCTTAATATTAAATTAACTATTACAGGTATAAGTATAAAAATACCACCATTAAATACAGAAAACTCAGTTTTATATAAATAATATTTAAAATATTTAATTACGTAATTATATATCACGTAATTTGCATTAAGTCATTTTCAACTTTTTTTTTGACTAATTGTGACTTAATGCATTTTTACCCGCTTATATACCATTTTTAGGTAATATAAACTTATAATATATTTTCTTTTGCTATTTGTTTATATAAATACGAAGAAATAAACGTTCTACCTATTTTTGTTGATTTTAGATTTTATTGCAAAGTTTGACTTAAAAAATGACTTAATGACTTAATTGTGACTTAATTCCCAACCCTGACTAGGCCGTCCGACCAGCCTGGCATGCCGTCCCGGGAACTTCGTCTGGTACGGAAAAGGCACCGATCGAGGACCAAGTGGCCGTCGTGCGCCTGCTCCTGGAGCAGCGATGCCCCGGGCTGCTGGACGAGCCCGTCGAAGTGGACGGGAGGCCACGGACAGTGCTCAGCGTCGCAAAATCCTATAACGCTCCGCAGGAGATCATCGACGCCATCGCCACCAGCATGCGCGAGGATTTTGATCCTCCGCTCAGCGTGGAAGTCGATCCTGGGAACGAGATGACTGCCGAGGGACTGTTCTTTTGGTTTTGCGAAGGATGCTGCTTGGTAAGCTTTCTTCTTCCCTTTTTGCCTAGGAAAATCATCGATCGCCTGGCCACCCTGGTTGGCTGCTAATAAGTTGGTGTGCATATTAGAATATCCGGGGAAAGGTTTACACGTGTACCGCACCGTCATGCTACAGGTCCTAGAAGCTGTGTTTTAGCTGTTTCCAGTACAAGGACGAAATCCACGATCTAGAGCATTCGTTTGACGTAACAGAGTGGAACGAAATACACGGTGTAGCAGGCTGAAGGGGAAGCAAGAGTGGCCGTTTTTTTATGACAGGATCGCTTTTATTTCGCAATTTTTCTCGCGGTATACATCACGCTGGATCTCGGTGGCTATCTTTTAGGCATGGGTCGGTTAGGGGGCAGGTTTAAACAGAGCGGGATAACGTGGAATACCTTAGCTGCCTTTTGTCTTGCAGGAAAATACATGCGTCTGCTCCCGGCGGCCGACAAGCCCGACGATGAAGTGCGTCGCGAGAAAGGAAAGTTCCGGCTGCGCGCCTCTCCTCTATTTTACTCAAACCGGTGATCTCAACAGGGAGATCGAGGTATGTCGTTATCCTTTTATTACCAGAGACCTAAGGGCAGCACACCGCATCAGACGCGTTCGAGGCAGGTGTGGGCACACTTGCTAACGCCAAGGGCACCTCGATGTAGCCCTCCCTCCCTCGATAGCGTTTAAGCGCCAGCCTTACCTACCCACCACGCCGGAAGATGCCATATGCTTGCTCCATTGGTCAACTTCCATGGACTATTCGGCGTTTCCGAGCCCCCCTGGGATTGCCCAGAGCATCAAGCCACCGCCCAATCCAGCTGGCACCGCGCCAGACGAGCACCGCTGCCGCCTTCCCATCCTCGAGGCGGGACGCCCTCCGGAGCACCCTCCAATACCGATCGTGAGCTAGCCGCACGCCTTCAAAGCCACCATGCGCGCATATTGGGTCCGCGGGCGGCTTCCACCTGGCCCCCAACATAAGGACACCAATGTCCATTGTTCAGGGAACAGATGTGGCTGAACCATGCGCCAGTCGCGTTTCCGCCCCTCTGTTCCGTCAGCTCTCTCCTTTTCGCATTTTGTCTTTCCCCCTCGTCCAAACTTTTGCACCCCTTTCTTTTTTTCCACCCTCGCTCGGGCCTTACGTTCATTTCATTCCTAGAACCGTGAGCCATCGCACCTGTCGCGGCTCTAATAAAGCCATCCAGCTCTGGTCCCGTGCCATGACATGGCTGCGCCTCTCCCGCCGCCGCCGTCGCCACCGCCTGCCGACCGCGGCGGGTTCCACCTCGCCATCGTGTGCGCGCTGAAGCTCGAGGTCGACACCGTCTCGCTCCTTTTCGACGAGATCTACGAGCGGCCGTACGGGCGCGTCGCGGGCGACAACAACCACTACTCCACGGGTCGGGTCGGAAACCATGCCGTTGTGCTCCTGCTGCTGCCCGACATGGGCACGCGCTCGGCCGCCTCGAGCGCGGCGGCCCTGCGTATAGCCTACCCCAACGTCGAGCTCGCCCTAATCGTCGGCGTCTGCGGGGGCCTGCCCCGGATAGACGGCGACGACGCCTTTCTAGGCGACGTCGTCGTTAGTAAAAGCATTTTCAACTACGACTTTGGCAGGCAGTATTCGGGCGAGTTCGTCCCGAAAACAACTGTTGAAGATACCCTTGGCCGCGCCGGTAGGAACGTCCGCAGCTTCCTGGCTTTGCTCGAAACGGAGCACCAGCTGGGCCTCCTCCAGAGGGCCGCCGCGGGAAACCTTGCCAGCCTGCGGGAGGCCGCCAAGAGCAGGAGCCGGCGAGCCGACTACAGGGCCCCCCGCAGGAGCAGCGACAGGATCTTCGCGGCCGACTATCCACACAGGCACCTCAGCGGCTGCGCGGCCTGCGCCGCTGAGGCGTTTTGCGAAGAGGCCGCCGGCCTGTCCTGCGCGGCGCTCGGGTGCGACGAGGACAAGCTCCTGTCGCGAAGGGACAGGCGGCCCCTAGATTCCGTGCCCCGCATTTTCATGGGCAAGGTGGCGTCGGGCAACGCCGTCCTAAAGTCGGGGAAGCGCCGCGACGAGATGGCGCGGCGGCACGACGTGGTCGCCTTCGAAATGGAGGGGGCCGGCACGTGGGACGAGGTGCCCAGCATCGTGGTCAAGGGCATCTGTGACTACGCAGACAGCCACAAGAACAAGGCGTGGCAGCACTTTGCGGCCGCCACGGCCGCCGCCGTGGCCGTCGCGATGCTCGGGCGCTACGAAGTTGCCGGGGCTGGCGGCGTAGTCCCTGGCGCGGCGGCCGAGGATCTGTCGCGGCAAACGCCGGACCGGACCGCGGGCAGCGTCCAGAACCTCTCGGTCGACAACCATTCGATTGGCAGCCACTTGGTCAATAACCACACAACAGAGGATCTCACGGCATTGGAGCACAACAAGGTCTCTGGCCATCTCCTTCAGGGGCTCAATTTTCAAGGGGGCGGGAACGTTTTCAACTTTGGAGGCAAGTGATCTTCTTGGATCTTCCCAGGGTCGGGTTTGATAGCTCGGCTTTCCATTCTAATGTTGTTCCACCACAGCACTCCTCTCGCGACCACCCGAACCCAAAGCCAACGGGCCTCACTGGCTTGTTCCACGAGCCGGGCATCCCCTTTTCACTGGCCGGTCCAGCATCATCCAGACAATTATGGATGCAATAACGGCAAACGAGAAACAAGGCATCAAAACCTTTGTTCTCACCGGGCTCGCTGGCCAAGGCAAGAGTGAAGTGTGTCTTCAAGTAGCAAATCGTGTTCGCGACCAGTATGGACACCCCTCCCCCCTCCCCGAGCCATCTTTGGACTCCAGTCACCATCCCTGCGCAAATGAAAAAAACTGACCCCCCCCCCCCCCCCTCGCAGGTTTTGGGGGGTCTTCTGGGTCGATGTCAGCACCTCGGAGCTGGCCAAGTCCGGCTTCTCCGAGATCTCAGCGCTTCTCGAGCTGCCCGAATCGCCTGACGTCGTGGAGCAAATCAAGCGGGCGCTGGCCGCCCTGTGCCCCGATAAAGATTGGCTCCTCATACTGGACAACGCCGACGACGACAAGACGGACTACGCGAAGTACCTCCCGCCTGGAGGGAACGGCGCGGTCCTGGTCACGTCCCGGCTCCGCGGCTGCGCGGCGCTCGGGAGGGTCGGCTGGGAAGAGCTGCACGGCATGGGCATGGCGGACTGCGTCGACCTGCTCCTGAGGGCGACCAGGCCCCAGAGCAGCAAGCCGGGGTCCAGGCAGGCCGCGCAGGAGGTGGTCCGGCTGCTGAGCCGCCACACCCTCGCCGTGGTGCTGGCCGGGGCCTACGTCCAGATGGGGCGCTGCTCGCTAGCCGAATGCGCAGGCGTGGTTAGGCAGCAGCTGTGGCGCTTTTTCCTATTCTCCCCAGAGCAGTCGCGGTCCCGCTACGGATCCTTGGACAAGACCTTCCACGCGTCGGTGGTAAGGCTGGCGCTGTCCAAAGCTTATCATCAGAGTGATTCATACCACATATTAGTTACCATGGCCGCCATGGACTTCAAAGAACTCCCCCTCGACCTGCTGGAAGACGCCTTCGACGGCCTCAAGCGCGCCAGGGAAATCCCGGAGGACGAGTCCAGGATTGACACGCTGACGCGCTGGCACGCGGGCGTCCCGCCGTTGCTCCAGGATCCCAGCAGCGTCGAGCTCTTTCGCCAGCGCCTCGGCAAGGCCGTGTCCCGGCTCGAGTCCCTGGGGTTTCTCAAAAAAGACAAGGCGAAAGGGTTCGAGGCTGTCTCGGCGCACCCGCTGGTCCACAAGTGGCTGGGCGTGCGCCAGAAAACGACGGCCAGACGGCGGGACGCCGAGACCGCCGCCGTAGTGCTCGCTCTAGCGCAGTTCAACTCCGGCTCGCAGGCGCGCCCTTACCGCGCCCATGTCGAGGTCCACATGCAGTCCCTGTTCGAGGAGGAGCGGTGGCTCGCGGATCCGAAGAAACCCTCGCGACCGGAGCTGCAGATGGCCTTCCAGGGCTGCTATTTCCTCGAGCAGCTCCGCAGCACTCACGGCAACAAAATGCTCGACCGGCTTTCGTCTAGGCTGTGGAAGCACGTGGTGGGGTCGGAGCCCGAGGAGGAAAGCGCGGCGACGGCGGACAGCCTGCCCTTGTTCAGGATCAGGGGCAGTAGTCTGATGCGACTGGGGAAGAAGAAGGAGTCGCTCCTGGTCCTCGAGGAGGCCTCCTGGGTCGCGGAGGAGCTGCCTGACAGCGAGAGCCTGCTGGAGTTCCAGGAGCAGCTGGCCCGAGCGTACCGTGAAAACAAGTGCTTCGACGAGGAGATCGACGTTCTCAAGTACGTCCTCAGATTGCGGACGGTCATGGGGGGCCGCAAGCACCCCAGGCTCGGCTTCTCGCATGGCAAGATGCAAAATAATCTGGTGAGGGCATACCTCGACGGTGGGTGGTTCGAAGAGGGCATCGAGCTCTGCAAGCAGCTAGTCGACGACAGGGCCCGCAGGCACGCCAAAGACAGCACCTGGCTACTGGCGACGCGGGCCCAGCTCGCTACGGCGTACTTCCTCGACGGCCAGTTCGAGGCGGCTGTCAAAGAGCACAGAGCCGTTGTCGAGCTGCGGGAAACGTCGCTGCCCAAGGACCACGCGGACACGATCGGCTCCAAGTTCAAGCTAGCCGAGGCGTGCCTGAAGGTCGGGGAACTTGAGGAGGCGGCGGATCTGCTGCGCGACGTGGTCCGCGTTAGGACAGCCGAGTACAAGGCTGATGACCCTGTGCTGTTCAAGACGAGGCGGTTGCTTGAAGAGACTTTGCGGCGTCGTGAGTCCCTTTCTCTTCTTCTCTGCTCCCGGTAGCGCCTCCCACCGCTAACATGCAGATTGCAGTCAATCTGTCCGGCGCCAGGCGCCCATCGATAACAACGCCTCCGCCCAGCCCCTCCAGCGACTGGGACTCCCAAATTGACGAAGCGGACGCCTGGACGACGGACGAAGTCGTCGAGGGCCGTGAACATGATGATCTCCATCTCCACGTTCTGGAGCGACGTTGCTGTCCCCATTGCTCTGGAGGACATTAGCGTCGGAGAGAAAGGAGTAGGTTCTTATATCTCCTACTAATAGATACCGGCAACGCCGTCGTTCAGCGGGGCTGATGTCATGTTGATGACCGGGTTGCGAACCTGGCGGTAGAGATTGTTCTGTTTACCAATGATTAGAGACAAGACAATATATATCCTAAAATTTCCGGCGACTGCATACCTGGTTGTTGTATCACGAGGGCCGTTGCCCCCATCAATGTAAACATCCGAGGAGATGACCCCGAGGCCAGCGAACGCTGAGGAAACTTTGATGATCGCACGGTTCCGTGGCTGTCATTAGGTCTAAGGGGTTCGATGTATATCCCAATCCCTTTTCAAGACGAAACGAATAAGTGACGGTTCAGAGTTCGGGAGGTATCTTCAGTGTTGTCTATTTTACATTGTTTATCCACCACGCATCATGACACCCGCTGAAACGCATGAGATCCTGTCGCCTCTCATCGGTTACGGCGAAGGCACTCGACCATGTCACGCCACGGACGCCAGCCTGCTGTTCCCCTGCTCCACCCAGAAACCATAATCGCCCTCCCGATCTGTTGGCGATCCTCACTTCAGGGCGAGCCGGTGACACCCTCCATCCTGGGCTATAGGCAGAAGGCGGCCCTGCTGCTATTGATCGGGTTCGTTGGCCATGACGACGCGCTCGCCATTGACAGCATCTAGGCCGCGCGAATTCCGTGCGCGCGGCTGTGGACACGGCAGCGGAACCACCGGCTTGGCCCAGCCGGGCGGCAGCGGCGGTACAATCAGGCCCTCGCAGGGTCTCATGTCACTAGGGGGCGGCGGCGGCGGACGACCTATCCCCCACCTGATCTCCAGCCAGTCTCGGTACCAATACGCCCACCCTGCTGCATCGGCCTCAAGATCCGGATCCTCCCGCTCGCCCGTGTGCTCCAAATCCACGAATACGAGCCCGCCGTCGGGGGTCAAGATGGTGTTGGCCAGCTTTTCGTCGGTGGGGAACACGTCGAACTGATACAACTCGCGGAGCGCCGCCTCCACCCGCCATTTGTACTCGTCAAGCGGTATAGGTGGCTTTTTTTGCTGATCGGCGCGGACACCGTCAACCTCGGACAGCAGCAGGCAGCGAGTCCCATCGCATCTCCCTTCGCCGTAGAGGATGGGGACCACGCGGCCCTGCAATTCCTCGAGCCGCTGGTAAGTGGCAATCTCCTTGTCGAACTCCTCATCCCAGTCGGCTTTGAGCTTTTTGAGCACGATCCGGTTGGGGAGAAACCACCCGGGAAACCAGGCCCGCGTGGCGCGCTGAACAAACCGAGGGAGTCGGGGCAGCACCAACGCAAGCCATTGGGACCAGGGCCCACGGCGTATTTCAACGCGCGAGACGTGGTCCCAGGGTGGCCAAGGCGCCTCGGCGATGGCCGAGATAGTGCTACAACCAAAGCGAACCTGAGGTCTTGTTAGGAGTGCTTGTTCGGGGCGGGAACGGCGTTATTTTTTTTGGCGTGCTACAAACCTCGACCACACGCCGATGTCGTCCTTCTCTTTCTTTTTTAGACGGCCAGTCATCGTCGCTATCGCTAGGCAAATCCCTGACACCACCGCTGGAATGAACGACCATATTTGTCGTGCTTTGCGTTGATTGTAGTGGCGGTGGAATGTCGAAGTGAGGAACTATCGATTGGGGAAAGAGAGGTGAACGCCGCATTTCGCACGCGCTACCACGCGACACCACTCGAATGCGCTTCCCAGGCTGCTGGAAAGCACGGACGGACATGGGTGGATTACCACCGTCCATTGTGTTCCTAGGAGAAGGAAGTATTCCTGACTATGACTTCTGGAGGGTCCTGATGTATATAAAGATGAAGAGGGTATTATAACTGTATCTAAGATAACACGCCTGTAAGGAACTTTTACAAAAATGAGCCAACGCCCCACAACAAAGCACAGCCGGCAACCGCCGTGGCCCCAAAAAGCTTCTTGGTCCACCAATTGTCGTCGGTGAGAGACGTTGTGACCTGTATCCTCTTTTGCGCGGACTGGTTCCTCGTGTTGACCCCTTGCTCCCTGGGGGCAGAAGCAGGCTGGGCATCGCCATCTGCGGCCACATCATCGGTATCCGCCCGCTTCCTCAGCTCGGCAATCTTCCTGCTCAGTACCAGTAGGTCCTCCTCTAGCTGGGCGGTGCCGGCGCCGGCGCCGGCCGTCGTAGCGTTTCGGGGCCCGTCGACCTCGACGTTCTGGACGTTGCCAAAGAAGTCGGTCAGCAGGCGGGCGCGGGCGGCGTCGGCGCCGCCGGGGAACAGGTCGTAGCGGACGCCGGCATTGGAGTGGATCTTTTCAAAGTTGTAGCTGTCGAACAGGTCGCCGACCGTCTTCTTGCTGCCGATGTCGCGGACCTCGGCCTCGAGGAACTCGAGGTTGTAGTATGTGTAGCGGTCGATGACGGCGACGCCGACGTCGTTGTCGGCGTGGTGCGAGTATGACGACTGGTCCAGCTCCGAAGAGCCCGTCGCGATGATGTTGGGCGAGTAGAGCTTCGAGTACATGGTGTTGGCCTGGCAGGTGTCGATCATGAAGAGGATTTCGTGGTACCTAGAGGTGGGGGTAGGAGTTGGACCGTGTCAGCGGTGTTGCGGCGTCGTAAGCAGAGGGGAAAGGAGCAAGGGGTCATACCTCTTCTTCTCCCACATCTGCTCGAAGGCGTCAGCCAGATCGAAGGCGCCAATCTCCTCGGCGTCCTGGAACTTGAGGAACTCGTTGCCACCGTGGCCCGTCATGTAGACCAGGATGTTGCTCCTGTCGTCGGTCAGCAGGCGCTTGCTGCGGGGCATCTCGTCGCCGACGCGGTCAGTCAGGAGGCGGATGAAGTTCTCGACGGTGACCTCGTAGCCGCGGTAGTCGACCTCGATGTTGTCGCCGTACAGGTCGACGGCGCGGTCGGCGTTGGAGTAGACGGTGCCAGGGAAGGCGTTGCGCGGGTTGCAGGCCATGTCGTCGGGCAGCATCAGGATGATCTGCGAATCGGGGATGCCGAGGCGCTTCACGGTGCGGTAGATGGACAGCACGTTGGCGAGGTGACGGTAGTTAAACCAGAAGCGCGACGTGCAGACCAGGACGGCCCAATTGCTGGTGTGCTCCGCCGCAACGAGGCTCGGGGCGGCCGCGAGGAGCGACGCCGCCAGCAGCGTGGGCAATTGCATCACCCGGGAGAGCTTCATGTTGCCGTCTGTCGAGCGAGCGTCGGGGCGAGGGTGGTCGGCGCCGGTCGCGAGTAGCCGCGGTCGGGGTTCGTGGGGCGTTGGTTATAGAGTTCTTGCCGTCGCCGTTGAAATGCCAACGAGGCGGCCTCAGCGACTAACGGCGCCATCTCCAATTTGTCAGCCACGAGGTTGCAGGGCCGCAGTGGGGAAAATGGTCCATGCACTCAAACCCAGCGAACCAGCAGGAACCCAGATCCAGCACCCAGCCTTAGAAGCAGACAGATCCGTCTCGACAACATCGGATCTGGCGTTGTATATAATTTGAGACGCAGTAATGGAGGAAAATTCTGGGACTCGCAAGTTGACCTCATGGCGATGTCGCCAACTTAACAAAGTCAGTGCTCATGGTAAAATGCAATCGAGCACTGCACCTCTGCTGACCCATCATGTCGGGACAGCCTCAAGTGCCACTTCCGTAACCCCTGCTGTCGCTACCCCACAAACCGCCCGCCCTCAGGGGAGGCTTGTAGCCTCGATGGCGACCACAGAACTTTGAACGGTATTTCCCGCATGCCGGTTTGGGGAGGGCTGACAGGAGGTGCGAGCGAAGAACGACCTAGAATTTGCTAGTCTGGATTGAAGATGGGCAGAGCACCGATTTGAAGCGTAAGTAGTCAAAGAAATCACATGCTTGCCAGACATGACAGTCAAGCTCGTGCCATTCGACAGCTCACGCCATTTGCTCTGGATGGATGCAGCACGGCTCACATGCCTCCACCGGATGCAGCATGTTGTGCAACCTGAGCGTCACAAACCCCAAGTTTCAAGGATTCGGCCCTGTCTGAAGGAGTACTCGGAAATACCAAAGTGAGCGCGAATTCCGCCTGGCCAAGGTTTTTTTTTTTTTTGCTCTGTTGCTCTTCGTGCACTCAGTATATTCCTCTTCTTTTTCTTCTCCCTCTTTTTCTTCTCCCTCTTTTTCTTCTCCCTCTTTTTCCCCTCTCCAGTGCCAGCCTCTGCCAGGGCTGTCCCATCCCACCAACAATTCTGATTCCTGGAACCTATACAGTGCACGCCGCATCATCAGCCCCTCGGATATCAAGGGATCAAGGGTCTCTTTGCTGCTGCACCGAGCCCGATCGTTACTGTGCCCACGGTGGTGGGGTCTCGTCGGCTAGACCCACTGTAGCTGCACCTGAACCTGGTTGCGGAAGCACTGGCGGGGGGTCAGACGCGCGCGTCTGGGCCGCCATCAGCCGACTCCCACTCCAACTGAGGCTTCCCCACCACGTCAAGCCGGCCATGACGTCCGCTGCTGTTTCATTCTGGGCTGTATAATATCCCATTCACTCCCATCAATCGCTTGTGTCTCCCTCTCCCCCTCCTTCCCACGTCTCGAACGGTCTGGCCCCTGATCCTACCGCGCCCACTCAAAGTCTTTTCCACGCCTCCCGGCGCTCTACAAGCCTCCCACCCGACGCTCATCTGGCTGGGCGAAGGGGTGCGGACCGTTTCTCAAACGGCCTCCGCCATCCTCACGTCCCGTCGGAACACGTTTCAACCCACGCCTCTACTGTCCTGCCAGCTGCTCCCCCGGCAGCACCCATCATGGCGCCACCGGCCTATATTTTTGTCGTGAGGTGAGCAAAGCTGCTCCATCCATCCGTCTCCGCGCTTTGTGATGACTGCTCGGCTGACACCGCCCCATCGAACATTCAGGCATGGCAACAGGCTCGATGTCGCCGACAGGAACTGGCATCTCTCTTCTCCAACGCCCTACGATCCCCCCTTGACGTACAGCGGATGGGCCCAGTCGCGGGCCGTCGGCACCCGGATCAGCAACATCCTTAAAGACCGCTCGGCCCAAGAGGCAGACCCGCCCCAGCCCAGCCAGAAACCCCAGAAGCCGAAGCGATACCGTATCGTCATACACAGTTCGCCCTTCGTGCGATGCCTACAAACGTCGATTGCCATCAGTGCCGGGCTGATGGGAAAGCCGTCGCTACTCGCTCCAGCCGAGCGAAAACTGTCCCCGGCGCAGGTGGGCCAGCTGGCTGGCGCTGAAACAGCACAGACCAATGGATCCACCACGCGGTCGAAACAGAGGCGGACGTCGATCGTGGGCAAGAAAGCAGTGCTGCGCATAGATGCGTTTCTTGGCGAATGGCTGTCTCCCAGCTACTTCGAGCTCATCACCCCGCCCCCCGGCTCGGTCATGATGTTGGCGAGTGCGAAGGCGTCACTGCTCAAGGCCGAAGACTACAAGAGCTACCCCCACCTACAGACTCGGTCTCATTCCAATGCCTCTGTCTCAGTGCGGCCGCTCAGAAGCCAGCTTTGGGCGGGGTCACCCACAAGGTCGGTCTCTCTTTCATCAGCACCGTCCGCCAGCGCCGTAGAGGACGCTGCAACACCCTCGCCGCTCCAGAACATAGCTGGCGTGAAGGACTCTCTTCCCGCGCCCACTGGTGCCGCTCCTGTCATCGAAGTGGGGGCCTATGACCCTCCCGTGCCTACTTTCTCCATGCCCAAAAGCGCGACCATCCCGGCCGGCTACGTCAACCACGCGAAAGATGCCTGTGTTGTCGTTGACTACCAGTGGGACTCGATGCGGCCCCCTTACAACTGGGGTGACGGCGGCGAGCTTCCAGAAGACTGGCCTGACATGCACAAGCGGTTCAAAAAGGGACTCCAAGAACTAGTGGACTGGTACACCAAAGCGGACGACCCTGCTTCGGCTGTAACAACCGAGTACCTGAAACCAGGTGCGGATGGTCTTATCCCCGCACAGGCCGAGAATGAGGAGGACGAGAATGTGGAGACTGTTGTGATTGTGGTGTCGCACGGTGCCGGCTGCAATGCCATGATTGGAGCCATCACACACATGCCCGCACTCATGGACGTCCCGATATCTTCCCTTAGCATGGCCGCCTTGAAGAAGACCGGTCAGGCTCCTAACGGAGTAAGCCCACGAGCCACAGAAGGCAACGTCCCGCTACACCAGACGTACGACCTCCTGCTTAACGCGAGCACAGACCACTTGCGCTCTGCAGCGCCCACACCGAATCCCTCCCCTTCTGCCAGCATGGCTAGCGTCTATGGTGGCTACGGCGCCGGGGCTGCGCGCGTGCGAGCTTCGAACTCGTTCTCGTCTCCGTCTGGCAGCGGCACCTCGGCGACCCATATGGAGGGCCTTAACAGGAGCTCTTCTATCAGCGGATCTGTCGCCTCCATCCGTAGAGGTCTGCGCGACCAGGCTGCGTCGAGCCGTACGCCGTCGGGCCTGTCGGTAGGATTATGGTCACCTGCTCCCAAGGCGGACTTTGAATTTGACCTAGTGGACGAGGAAGCCATCGAGTTTGATGCGAAACAGCCCCCCTCACCGCGATCATCAAGGGAAGCCCATGAGCACAGCGATGAGCTCGACGACCAGTTGACCCACCTCCCCAAACGCTCTACCCGTGCGAGTCTTGGTGGCAAGGGTCTTTGGATTTCTGACGGTGGCGTTCCTACACCGCCCACCATTCCGGCCACCGGCCCGGTGCGCGACCAGGGCTCTTCCAAGAGACGATGGACTGTGACTGCTGAGCGTCCCTAGGAGGGCGCCAGGCAAACCCACAGGTCCGTTTTTCACGAGCGACGCTGGTCGAATCTGCAGAGCAGGCGAGGTACCTAGGAGGATCCCGTGCCCGCGGGAGGCGACGGCGGCTGCGCGAAGGATGTTGATGGCTGTGCCCACGTGGGCGATTCTGCCCCTGAGGATGACGACTACGGAATCGACTTCCCCGGAGAACGGCGCGGTAGCCGCGGTGACGTGGAGCCTCGGGGCTTCTAGGCTGGCAGTGTGGCTGCGTGATCGCGGCGACTTTTCATGTGCATATCGTTTTCGGTCGGTAATCATGCATGTCAGTGTGTGGTTGTGTGTATTTGGCAGCAAAAAGCAACACGACAGCTCCCCTAAACAGTTTGTAGTATAAACAGTATAAGCAAATATGTACGAATATGTACGAATCCCGAGGATTAGATTTGACAACGCCGCGGGTTTGTACCTGTCGAATCTCAAATGCGTACTAACAACAAGATTCGCCCCCACAAAAAATGGCTTTAAGTTTATACATGTATTTATATGACCTTTTTTCTCTTTTTCTTCCTTTTTCCTTCTCTTTTCCTTCTTCCCTTCTTTTCTTCTAGTTCGTAGTCCTGTTTTTAATCTATCCTCGTCTTATTCTTTTTCCAAAATGCAGGGGTCATGCTATCGTAGGAACAACTTTAACAATCGCGTGAACTTGAAACTTAAACATTATAGGATCACAATCGTCTACTGGGTTATAAAGGGCGCCTATGGGCCGCAGTCATGCCATCTTTCTTGGCCATCGCCGTGTCTTGCGTCGGACGGCCTGTCGTCCTCCTGCTTGTCCATGGCGCCGAGTAGGATGGACCACATGCACTCGGTGTGGGCTTTAGTGTCGACAATGTCCCAGTGCGCGTGAGGGCCGCCGCCGGCGGCCCCCTCCTCCGCGCTCCAGAGGTCGTCGTCCAGGCGGCGGAGCCGCTCGAGCCCGACCTCGTCGTGGCCGAACGACACCATCTGTATCACCGTGTGCGTGTCGAGCCGCCCGCTGCGCTGCTGGTTCCGGATGAACCCCCGGATCACGCGCGCCACGCCCAGCGTCACGTCGCTGTCGCGTCGCTCCCGGTGGCCCCAGACGCCCGACGTCATGACGTAGATGTTTGTGCCCGTCGGCCGCGCCGGAGCGTACGAGGAGGTCAGCCATTCGAGGGGGCTGTGGTGGTGGTGGTGGTGGTGGCGCCGGCGCGCGGGGGTGGCGCCGGCGTTCTTGTCCAGCACCGCGGTCAGGGTGGCGTGCATGGCGGCGGCCATGGAGGAGGAGGAGGAGGACGACGACGACGACGACGGGGGTGCGGCGCGCTCCAGCAGCCCGGCCAGGTCGGCGGCGCGGTAGACCGTGTGGCGCGCCAGCGGGTCCGAGGCGAAGCGCAGCTCCATGCCGTCCCTGTCGACCGACTTGACCACCTTGGCGATGGCCTCCAGGGTGCGCTTGAGCTGGCCCGCGTGGGCGAGCATGGTGCTGTGGTCGTCGATGAGGAAGATCTGCGCCGTGTGTCAGATTTCTGCTGGTATTTTTGTTTTCTTTTCTTCCACCACACTGTCCACTCTTCCCCTCCTCCCCTTTTTGTCACTCTGTGGAGTGAGCATACCTGATCACGCCCGTCGAGAGCTTGCTTGACGTCGGCGAAGAAAGAACGCATGGCGTTGTAGGGGTCGGCCTCGACCATCCATTTCCAGTTGCTCCGGTAGTTGATCACGTAGTCGACGGTGACCTTGTCGTGCTTGGGAGCAGGTGGGAACGACCGGCGGTACGGCATGCATGGAGACGAGGCGGTGGTCGTTGCCGGCGAGATGGGGGACGAGGCGGATGTTTTTGTCGGCGAGATTGGCTCTGTTGTTGCTGGCGAGGGCGGAAACAAGGTGGATGTTGCTGGCGATGATGGCGCCGACGCCGGCCCGTTCTTTGTTGCTGTCGAAGGGCGTCGTGATGATGACCATTGCGTTGACTTGAATGGCTGAGCCAGGACGGTGGGTTCCAAAAATACTGCCCCAAACGCTCCCTCGAGGACTCGTGCGTCGAACCGCTCATCAGTGCTCCCGTACACGTACAGTTTATTGACATCGGGCTCGAATTCGGTCGGGGCAGGACTCGGAGGAAGCGCCGGATATTGGGGCTCGACGAGGTTGTCAGGGTCGTCAATGATTGCCTGTAGGCGTCGCGCCGTCGAGGCGGCATCCCCTCGGAGCTTCGGCTTGCTGTTCAGGCCGTGCTCGAGCACGTACTCGACAATCTTGCCCGTGATGCCGTCGAAGAAGCGTTGGTTGCTCTTGCTCAGGGCCACGACGTCCCTGACCGCCTTGAGCGCGCGCCTGCCGTCGTGGAAGCAACCCTCATATCCGACGACGGAGGGAGACGCTGGCGGAAGCCGCTGGACGCTGTTCTCGTCCACTCGGGCCTGGAAAAAGTCGGTTGCCGCTTGGCTGCCCCCGGCCAGCCACACGGCAATCTCGAGCATCAGACACGACAGGGACCAGAGATCGGAATGATGTGTGCCTGTCTCGCGAACGTGGGTTTCGTTCCCATCCCCATCGAACAGCTCGGGGGCCAAGTAGTTTCTCGGTGAACAGAACTGGGGCGTCTCCGTTCCTCCCGTCATCCCCTGGCGTTCGCGGCTCCAACCCAGGTCGCCCAGCTTGAAGGAGATTCTCTGTTTACGATGCCCGCTCCAGCCAAGAGAACCATCGTCGGGGTGCACTACGACGAAGATGTTGGCCGGCGTGATGTCGTGGTGGGGGTGTGCCGCATGTGGGCGAATGTGGTTGTTCCCGCGAAACCCGAGGGTCTGGAAGCTGTCCACAGCACGGTACAGCTTGACAAGCTCGGCCCACAGCTGACGGACACCTTCTGGGGTATAGGGGATGCGGTTCTGACCCAGCCACTCCTGCAGGCTCCCTCCTTCTGCGTATTCCCGCACGATTGCTGCCCGGTCACCTTGGTTAATGGCCGCCTTGCAGTCCAGGAAATACCGCCCTAGACTGCTTCCGTCTGCCTCCCCTAGCATGTGGATGGTTTCGTAGGCACTAATCTCGGCCTGGTATATGGCAGACATGGCTTTGGAGGGCGGGAACTCTTTGATGACGAGGAGCTCCTTCTGTCTCGGACACATCTCAGTTAAAACGGATCCACTGATGGTGCAAGGCAAGGGGGTGAGGGAGTGTGATCCGTACCGACAAACTCGAGCCTTTGTATGCCTGGTATTTTGCAATATGAGGCGTTGAACAGTCATCTCCCATTTGCAAAACACCCAGCAGCTTCAGCGGCAGAACCTCAAACGGCTCCAAGGTGTTTCCCCACGAATCCCGCCCGATAGATGCAGGTGTGAACAAGAATTGGGTGTCGTAGAAACTACTGGCAGTGCCAGTGTCCTCGAAGCAGTCCCTGGAGGATTGCCTGGAAAGTGGCAGCCGATCATCCTTTACCCTTTTCTTCCCCTGGCCATGAAAGAGGCCGTAGATCTCCGGGACCTCGGAGCATTCCTCATTCGACATCCGCAGCAGTATCGACAGCACGTGCAGGAGCTCGTCCCTGACAATGTGCATGCGAAGCCCGATCGCGAGCGCCTCCAAGCATTGCTCGAGTCGCTCATCGGTCCAGTACCTCCTTAGGAAGCCTTGCGGAATGAAGTAGTAGGTCTGGTGCCGGCTGTTGAGACATGTGCCTTCGCACTTGTTTTCGTCGACCCAGGTCTTGAACTCGCGCCAGATTTTCTGCTTCAGCGAACGGTTCGCTCCCGGATCGTTCTGGCGTCTCTGGCGGTCCATAGCTGGCTGGCTGTGAGAGCCTGACTTTGTGTGATGATATAGAAGGTCGGCAGGGTCTGGACAATTGCAGATTATGTCGGACGAAGTTTGTCGGCGCACTTGGCGTCTGGGGCATGGGGGATTTTCGGCTTTTAATCACCTTCACCGGGCGAACGCCAGGTAGCTCGTTCGGCCAGTCAAGGGAGACATAGAGGCAGGGTGGACCAGACCGGTGTGCGCAGGCGTCCGTCGCCTAGTGCCAGCAAAATCCATGCGGCTCGGTTCCTTGCTCTCGCACTGCCTGGCTGCCCAACCGGGCGTCCTGGATCCAATGAGAACCAGTGAGATGGGCCCCGCGAACCCGATCCTGCATTGATCCGCTTCTCCATGAGATTTGAGTGGACGCCCTCTCGTGGTAATCCCTTCAGCTGGTGCGCTTTTGAGAACCCCGGGGTGTCACGCGTGGGTCGGGACGCCTGCATCTGCTTCGTTGATGCGTTCCGAGAATGACCTGTGTGCATATGCGGTGCTGCTTCGCGGACCTATAGGTGTCGTTAACTTCGTTATGTCCCCACCCAAGCTGTCACGGCTGCCTACCCCTCCCGGAGCTAGGCTGCAGGTTTTTGATCGAATAATACCTGCGGCTCTTTCCATCCGCCACAAGCTGGGCTTTGCTCGGTACAGCCACCACCCTGATGTGGGATGTCGGAAGTATTTGAGCCGCGTGGCAAGGCTTAAAATTGTTACCAAACTGCACGACGGATCGGCGTGGGAGCGAATAAGCGTCAAGAAAGGAGGTCGGGATTTTGGGTCAAGGTCCGGAGAGCATAGAAGGAACTTCTTTGCCATGAAACATGCTAATTGATAAGAACTCCCTTTGTTGCAGCAATTCCCATGTGAGTGTGTTAGGCAAGCTATTACCGTACCAAAACTTCCATGTTTACTCATGGTTGCAGCCCCAGCTCCGCTTCGGATCAGGCGGCTGGTTCTCTGTGCACACCAGCTGCAGCCCTACCCGTTGACAGAATTCAAGAGGGTAATATTACTGGCCCATTTGACTTTTTTGAACATATTCCTGCAGGGGATAAATTTCCATGGCTCTCTCAGATCCGAGCATTCAGTGCCTCTGGAAATTAATCCGCAAGATTTCACACGTAGCCGAAGTGACAACCACGGCCCAGATATTCAAGTTTTGATGTCCGGCAAGCAAAACTATACATTTTCATATCACTTACCTTTTGACGTCAGTCTGCAGCACTAGATATGGATCACAGATATAGCGGTTATCTGCTCCAGAACTTCGAATCCGGCTCCAAAAAGAAATAGGGCGAAAACGGCGGACGGCGGGTTGTTGCAGAGATGCGGAGCCGAGGTCACCGGCTGGGCGGTGCCCGGCCAAGACGGCCGCCCCAGCTAGAGTTTCTCCACGCCACGTAACCTCCCGCCCCCACGTCCTTGGGAGCATCGCCAAGGTGTCACGACTCGGCCCTGGGTTCCGGAGCTGGTCCCTCCCTCCGCCATGCAGGACGTTTGCCGGGCCGGATAAGGGCTTCCCATGGAGGCACCGACAGAGGGATCTACAAGACTTCTGCCAAACCAGAGATCTCGGTTCCATGTTGTAAATGCTGCAAGGCAAGGAGGGAGAAAGGAGGGCCAGAAAACAGTATTTAAGGGCTACGAGTTCCTCCTCCTCCAACTGTCAAAAGCCCATTCTCACATCCCCATCGTCTCCTACCCCGAACCCCCAAACACCATCGCCCAAGATGGTGAGCTTCTCGAGCCTCGTGGTGGCGTGCCTCGCTGCGGTCCCCGCGGTGCAGGCTCACTACGTCTACAGCATTCTGACCATCGATGGTCAGCGGACCCCGGACTGGCAGTACAGTATGTGATACTGGGCACCCCTACAAACTGTTCCAGATGCCCCCCCTAACATGAACACATCCCCTCACAGCCCGCCAAAACAGCAACAACATCCAGCCGACCAAGCACTTCCTCAACGCGGGCGCCGACTTCCGCTGCAACACGGGCTCGTGGGCCAACGCGGGGCGCACGCACCCGGCTCTGGAACGGCGGCAAGATCCTGCACCCGGGCCCCTCGACCGTCCACATGTCGCGGGCTCCCAGGGACGTGCGCCAGTACCAGGGCGACGGGGACTGGTTCAAGGTGTACCAGGACATCATCTGCGGGGTGCAGAACCCGCTCCGCAACACCGACTGGTGCAGCTGGGACAAGCCCGAGGTCGGCTTTACGCTGCCGCGCGACACGCCGCCGGGACAGTACCTGGTACGCGTCGAGCACATCGCCATCCACGGCGCCCAGTCGGCCGACACCGAGTTCTACTTCACCTGCGCCCAGATCGAGGTCACGGGCAGCGGGAGCGGCCGGCCCGGCCCCATGGTCAAGATCCCGGGGCTCTACAACCGCGAGGACCCGGCGCTGCGCTTCTTCATCTACGACGCCCGCAGCTACCCCTACACCACTGTCGGCCAGCACAGCGTCTGGACTGGCGGCGGCGGCGGCGGCGGCGGCGGCAGCAACCCCAACCCCGCTGGCAACGGTGGAGGCGGCGGCGGCGGCGTCGCTCCTCTTTACGGGCAGTGCGGTGGCCAGGGCTGGACTGGGCCGACGACCTGTGCGTCGGGCAGGTGTGTTGCCACCAACGAGTGGTATTCTCAGTGCGTCCCCTAAAGGCATCGATGGAAGGGGAATTGGCCGGGGCGGAGGGGATACAGGGTGATGTGAGGGTGGGAAAATACCCTGTTGCTCCTGCGAAGCGCCGTGGCCATCGCCATGCCGGGGATGGTAGGGAGCAGAAAGATGGTGGTCGCCGGCTGCCGTGGGTAGCTTTACTTCTGGTTGTGTCGGATTCGCGTCGCAGTATATATATATAAATCTGGCTTTGCTAGCCTGGGCCGACAGAACCTTTCTACCTCATCCAATGTCGGTGCTGCGTCTGAAACACGTCCAACAGAGCAAGCGAGAGGTGCATATTCCGATCCTGATACATGTTCACCACGGCGCTGACAAAGCTTGTGGATGGGACGGCTGCAGGACATCACACATTCTTGTGGCCGTCGTTGGGATGAGGACCGAACGCCGCGTCTCCGGCGAACGAATAAGCTTGACAGCCCACGTCACCGCAGCTCGGATCCTGCGGCATAGCTGGGAAAAGGCTGGACAGCTGCAAGCCGGGACTAGCGCGACCGCCGGCCTGCCCGTTTGGAACCCGCGATGACGGCCCGAGGTGGCTGCCGAGTTTCAAGTTCAAGGATTTGAAGGTTTAATCCCATGTTTGCTCTCAACAGCGTGCCAAAGTGCTTGATGCCGCTCGTCCTGCATGGATGTGGGCCGAGCCGTCGGGAGAACATAATAGCTCAGTGTTTTCCTGTGCCTGTCTTAGTGCTCCCCATCGGCGTATGCCGCTCGTTCATCACCAAACATACTCCATGACTGTACCGAGGCGGTGGGTGCTGAAACGACGAATTCAAATGGGGGAACGACGATACCTCCCAGAGCAGTCATCCGCACATCCAAGCTGCTCATCTTGTGGGTCACCGTCGCGCATCACTCACGCCTGGTCCAAGGATGGAGTCCGGTTGTCGATGGGTTGGGCACTGGTTCGACCGAGATGGAGGGGCAAGACCAGGAAGCCCGTGCTGGGTCGCGCGAGGGTATACTGGGACCGCTCCACCCCAATCTAGATCCTCCAGCCAGTAAATCGGCCTCCTATGCATATCCAGTAGCATCTGACAGGTCTGACGGGTCTGTACACCCGTTGGTAACGCCGGCACCAGACACTCCATCACCGGACAGTCGCTTGTCGCCAGCTGACCTGCGGAAGAGGGTGGCACAGTTCCTGGGCGGGCCAGGCGCACCACCCGGCTGCCGTCCGGGAGATCAGGCCGCCATCTCGTCAACGATATCGTCCCTGAACAGCGCGCTCGCCGCGGCTCAGTCGAGCGCGTCACAGCTGTGCAGAGGGGGGTCGCGGATGCACAAGCTAGCGCCAAGGCCGCGCAGGCAACTGCCGATGCGCTGGCGGCGGAAGCATCGAGGACAAAGGTGAGAAAAATGTGTGGAATATGACCCCTGAAAAAAAAAAACGGCTGTGGCTAACGAGCTGGCGGCGCATCAGGCTGAGGCCGAGTCTCGAGTGCAGCAGGCCAATAACTCAACGGTGCCTGAGACTCAGGCCGCGGCCGGCATCGTCGTTGCGGCCGTGGGAACGGCGATCTTGTGCTTTATAGGATTTTGGCTGTTCATGCGACACAAGCGCTCGCGAAGGGAGAGTCAGCTGGACACGGCTGGCGGCGCCGCACAGATGGCCGAGGCCGGCGAATCCCAGCAGAGGATTACATCTGAGGAGGCGAAATGGGGCATTATGGAGGCGGCCATGGACCCCAACGCCAGCGGCCCAGCGAGCAATCTGAGCAGTCGCGATGAGCCCCAAGCAGCACCTGCTGGCGGGAGAACGGCTGCTGCCGCTGTCACTGCCACTACCATGCCCTCTCTGATAGTGCAGTCGGCTCGCGCGTCCAGCCCAGCAACGGCAACCGACGGAGGCCTCAGCACAGGCGCCATCACGGCGACGCTCCCGTCGACTCGACACAGCGAGCCACCGGTGTTTGTTGGGTACGCAAGCAGCGAAATGCCGTCGCAAGGAGCGACCGCTACACGGCCGTCCACGGTAAACCCGCTGGTGGTGCCGGGGGCAGCCGACAACCAAGACTCGGCATCCAAGGCTCCCTTCTTCCAGCAACGACTAGGAAGAATGGAGGAGGGGCGTAGGCGCGCCGCCACTCGTGGTGACATCAGGCAATCGTGGGAGTCGGGGGCCGTCAGCCCAATCGCGTGCGACTCAGCGGTGGATGTGAGCAGCCTGCCGAGCGCGTCACAGGCGACGAAGAAAAACAGGCGAGACTCCAGCTGGCCATTTGTTACGGCGGGAAAGGATAACGAGAGGTCTGGTTGAGCCAGTCTCGTCGGGGGATGCGACTTTGGGATCGGATTTTTAGGCTGCTTGAGGAGAAGAAAGCGAGATGCAGCGACCACCGTCAACCAATTTAATAGCGTTGGTAGAGCTGTGCCCCACCTTCCTAATCGGGCACAATTTTATTTAACCATTGGGACTTGTAAAACTGCCCTTTCTTTGTGGTGGGCGTGCCACCTACTGCTAGCTGTGGCCAAAATTTTACTGTGCTGTTCACCTTGACCGCCATCGCAGAATTAATGGGATACCCTGCCACGCTGCCGTGTTATCGGCCATCGGCACATTCATGCAGCCAAGACGCAACCACAGAAACACAACCTCCGAATTAGGGAGGTCGATGCAATGGCACGTTGTAGCCCCTCGTTCCGCCCATGCCGGCGTCACTTGATGCTTCGCACGATCGCCTGCCACATCATGCCTGGGACCGTCGCTATGGATTGCCCCGCTCCAGGAAGACGCGGCAATCCATCAAAACAAGCTTCCATGTGTCCTTTAAATACTTCTGGTGCCCGTTCAATTTCGTCCAACCCGTCGTCTGCCGGATTGTCGCTTGAACAGACGAACGCCCACCATGAAGCCTTCGCTGCCTCTGTATCCCCTCGCGGGGCTGGGCGGTCTCGTGGCGGGACAGATGAAGCCACTCGTGAGCTCGGTACGGCATCCTGCCATTGACTTTCCTGTTCGACAGCACCTAACCACTACTAACGCAAATACAGGAGGCCCTTCGGAATCTCTTGACCGCCGACGCGCTCATGAGCAAGGCCCAGATCCTCGAGGACCATGCCTACTCCACCCCACAGCGGAATCGTGTCGTCGGCTCGCCCGGCCTGGAGGCGTCCTTAAAGTACATCAAGGACACCGTCACCGCACTGGACTACTACGACGTGACGACCCAAGAGTTCACGGTCCTGGGTGCAGGTGAAGCCTCTCTCTCCATCGCCGGCACAAAATACGACTCGCTGGTTTTCGGGGGCTCGCCCAAAGGAGCGGCGAGCGCAAAACTGGTGGCTGTGGCCGACCTCGGGTGCAATGCTGTAGGTTTATCATCCCCGGATATCCGGCCCAGAGGAGTGATGATATTGCAGCAAGTGTCTGACCGTCACTCTTCCAGACCGACTTCCCCGCAGCCGTCAAGGGGGCAGTTGCCCTGATCTCGCGCGGCACCTGCGCCTTTGCCATCAAGGCAAGCAATGCCGCTGCCGCCGGCGCAGTGGCCGCCATCATCTATAACAATAACCCCGCCGAAGGCCCCGCTTCGGGCGGGATGGGGACCGGCTCCTTCGTGCCGACCGTGGGCATCACCCAAGCGGCAGGCCAGGCGCTGGTCGCCGAGCTGCAAAAGGGCACCGCGCTGACGGCAGACGTGGGCGTCACCATCACCGAGACCAAGACGTACAACGTCATCGCCCAGACCAGGGGTGGCGACCCCGAAAACGTCCTCCAGCTCGGCGCCCACGTGGACTCGGTCGAGGTCAACCCGGGCGTCAATGACGACGGCTCCGGCACCCTGAGCATCCTCGAGGTGGCGATACAGCTCGCCAAGTTCTCCGTAAACAATGCAGTCCGCTTCAGCTGGTGGTCGGCCGAGGAGGCCGGGCTGGTTGGCTCGACCGAGTACGTCAAGTCGCTGAGCCAGGCCGAGCGCGACAAGGTCCGGCTCTACCTCAACTTCGACATGGTCGCGTCTGTCAACTGGTTCTACGCCATCTACGCGTCCAACGGCACCGGGTTCGAAGGTCGCACGCCGCCTCCGGGCGTGGTCGAGGCCGAGAAGATGTTTCAGGAGTATTTTGTGGACGTCGCGGGCCTCAACTACACGTCGTTTGACCTGCGAAAGGCCAGCGACCACGGCCCCTTCATCGACGCTCGCATCCCCACCGGCGGCTTGTTCACAGGTGGGTCGGAGCTCAAAACTCCCGAGCAGGTCGCCATGTTCGGCGGAACCGTGGGCGCGCCCTCCGACCCCGAGAACCACAAGGCGGGCGACAATGGTAGGTCTGCCTCGATTTTGCTTGTCCTCAGTGCCTGCTGTGGCTGACCCTCGATGTTTAGTGACCAATATCCATCCTGAACCCTTTCTCCAAGTGACGAAAGCTATTGCACATGCCGTGTCGCTCTACGGCCAAAGCTTCGACAGCTTGCCGCAAAGGGTATCTGGCCATTTATGAAAGCGTTTAGCGCGTCCCTCGGTGTCAATCGCAAGGTAAATGAAGAATCAAGAATAAACCAAGGGAAATAGTTAGGGAATAAATCCAATAGCATATCCACAGGAGGACAACTTCGTCCACGAGCAACCCTCATCGTCGCCCTTTCCTCCACTCAATCACCTCGGTAATGAGGTTCCTCCTTCTTAAAACTCAGCCCTTCTCGCTGTGGAGCTTCATGGGGCAACCGCTCAAAGAAGAGCTGCCGACCGTTCCCGTGGAGAACAACAGGTCGAACCGAGACACGCTACCTGGCAATCTGAAGTTAATCTCAAGGTTGAAAACACCATCCACGGCGATCTGCCTGACTTCTTCCTCCGTAAGGCGCCAGCTGGTAACGCGTAAGGGGTTGACTGGGTCATCCAGCCGAAACTGCGGGTCTCCACGGGATTGAATGAGCCGCCCGAACGCTCTCATCGAGGCAGATCTCTCGATAAAGCGACATCGGATGTGCCCTGGAGGGTGGCTGGTCAGCACAGCCTCCCACAGAGAGCTGGGTTCATGCTGTGCATATTTACCGACCTTTAAAGATGTGTTCGCCTTTGACATTATCCCATCCGCTCCTTCCCACCAGTTCGAAGTAGAACGTGGTGGCGATCAGGCGGGCGACGATTGCAGCAATCTACATCCTGCACTCTGGCGCAGCTAGGTATTCCCTTGTCGAAGCTTCCGTGGCGCCCTCCTTCACGGCTGCGACATCGTCAAACTCTGGAACGCCTGAGGTAAACTCGGGGTTGAGGCGGAAGTATCTCCTCGGGTATATCGTATCCCAGTTGATGCCAGGTGAGCGACTATTCCAGCCAAACTCGGCATCTAGGCCCTTTGTCATGAACCACTTCAGCAGCTTGAACATACCCCGGAAGTGGGCCCAGGGGAGTTTGTACTCGGAAATATCCTCGTCACTTGCGGGGGCGCGCCCAGTCCCGACGGAGAGCAGCATGTCCATGTTTGCCGCCTCTTCCGAGTCCATAGACAGGCGCGCACGTTCGAATATGGCGATCAAGAACGGGTTGTTGGCGGCCAGGGCTCCGTCCCAAAAGAACCACCCGTGCTTCTTTCGGAACGAGTTGAAGTATTTGGTGGCTGCCGACGTGACTCTAGCAGCCTCCCAGACCGCGAAGTCTCCAAGAGGGTTGTTTGGGCCTGGCACGAGGAAGGGGTGGGCTGTAGTCAAACAGGGGTGTTCAAGGTCAATAGTTGGCCGGATTTGCGTGCGCACACTAGCATAGGTATCGAATAGCTGCGAAGAAGCCTGGAGGATTCGACTTACGCCAAGATCCGTCTGAGGACGCATGATAGTTGCGAGTATCGCACACTTGCGCCTCGTTTGCTCGACAGCGGTAACGAAAACCTTCGGCGAAACAACAAGGTCCAGATCGCAATTATGTGTCTAGCCATGGCAAAATATTATAGATGGACATTATTAATTAGCCTTTTTTTTACTTTCGACTGCAACGCCGGATGCAGTATGACAACATACCCTGGCACCAGACAGTAGCTGGTTACCAAGTGCGCTTTGGAGCTGATCCTGGAGGGCACCCGTGTCATATAATCTGGCGTGGGGTTCCGAATTAGCTCAAGCAAAAAAGGGGTTCGTTTGGAGGTTCCAGAAATATGCTGTGGATTGCATAACGTGGAAGCATAACAAAAATAACAATCATCCCCGGCCCCTATGCTGAAGAAAATGCACGATTGTTCAGTAACACATACGAGATCTCTAGAACTTGTGTGTAGTGCGGCCTCAAAGTGCCAAGACCGAAGTCGACGCCGATGCTAGTGCTGGAGATAAGAACCCAAAGGACCCATTTGGGCCATTACCCAAAAAAGGACTAATGGGTCTTTTTTTGGGTAATGGGTCCAAAATCTGGGTAATTTTTGGGTCGGGTTTTTTGGGTTTTGGGTAATTTTTAAGTCCAAATAAAAAAATTAAGTCCAAAACGTTATTACTTTTGTTATTACCTTTTTATTTTTACTTTTACAAATAATTATAGTAAAAAAAAAAAAAAAGCACGGGCCTTTTGTTAATTTGGGTACCCATTGGGGACCCAAATTAACCCAAAGTGCCAAGGACCCGTAAACGGGTCCCCGTTTGGGTTTTTGGGTTCAAGCCGGACCCAAAACCCACGGGTCCAAATGGGGACCCGTTTGTGGGTAATCGCCAGCCTTAGCTGGAGACGCCTAGGACGGGGATGGTGATGTTAACGCCGAGGGGTTTGAAGGCCTTGAAGCATAGTTTCTTGAACAGGTCGAGTTCCTCTTGGGGCTGCCTGTTTGTCAAGGCCAGATCCAGCGCGATGATGCCGCGCGTGCTGGTCCCCCCAATGAGATCAAAATATCTCTGTACTGGCAACTCACCGCCCATCGACCTTGTCAGCTCAGCCAATATAACGAGCTCCACTAGCCCCCGGACACCACCCCCGTCGAGAGTGAGTATGCGACGGCCGACGTGGTTGGGAAGTATCAAGACGCGGAAGGCGGGGAATGCTTTGGGGGACTTATGTAGGTCGCAGTTCTTGATCTCTGTGACTCTCGAGTCGCCGGCAAACTGGTCGCCCGCTGACGGAATGCGGGTTTTGCATATTCTGTGCCCGCAGGGCAGAGTCTCGTGCGAGGCATACCCCATGCACCAAACGCAGCTGAAGGGCTCCGATTTTTCGGGATGCGGAACGACTTTGAACAGTTCGCGCACGTGCTCTCGATGCAAGGTCTCGATACTGCCGCGCCTGGAGCTTGCGTCGACATTGCCGATCTGATGCAGGATGTCCTTCCAATGCTCCCTCAGTTTTGGGAGGAAAAGGTCCCGAATGGAGTCTGCAAGGAGCGACATCCAGCCACCGATCCCTATGCTCGCTCCCCGGGCGTTCTGGTGCTTCTCGCCATGGCCCAGCCGCTTATTGACACACGAAATATTCTTGTCGTTCAAACTCGCAGGGGCAGCAAGTGTCAAGAAACTTGTCCAAGGCTCGCGCAACCCAGTCCTCGTACGTAGTCTCGCCTCCTTCTCTATGTCCAGAGGCCATGGCGTCGAGCGGACGGGTCGGGTAGCTATTCGTTCTGAAGATATGGACAGTGATTGCTGAAGCTATCGACGGTGTGGCCGTGGCGACGAAGGCTGCAGCCTTCGTGTCATGTTAGGGCTTTGGGCCGTCCGCTGTGTTCCATGCATTGGCATGATGCTGTTGTACCGAATGCATGAGAGTGTAAAAGTTGTTTGCCATGATGGTCGGTAGCCTGATCAGCGAGATGAGGCTCTGGACAAAATCGAAAGGGGCGTCCGGGTGTTCGCTATAGTGGTCAAAAAGCGCGTGGAAAAGGGCTCCTTGTTCACCAGATGTGAGCTGCAAACATGCCCTTGCTTTGAGGGTCTGTGTTGCCGCAGCTGCCCCTGAGATCATTTCGTAAAGCTTTTCGAGCTGGATGATGAAACGGTCGTGACTGGTGGACATGGCGGAAGCTTGATGAATCTAACGGAGGCGTATGAGAAGTTCAGGAGCTCCTCCAATGTGTTGATCTTCTGACCAAGGCCGTCAAGTCGCTGTCGCTCCTCCCTAATCACCTTGTTGCTGTCCAGAGATCTACTCTGTTCGTGGAAGATCTTGGCTGTTTTGGCGGCAGGGTCCCAGTCGCCGTCTGTGGTTGACCGGTTAAGGACAATAATGAGGTGCGGCAGGATGGCTCGGTTGACAGCAGCCTTCTGGGAGCTTTGGGCCCATTGAAGCATGCTAGCAATGTCTTCCTCCAGCGATTTGACAGAAGTAGCATCGATGGCGTGAACGAAGACATCTGCCATGTTATACAACAGCTTCGGGTAAAGGCCCGCCACGGCAGCTTGCCGGCCTTCCTGGATTCCAGGATAGCTCAAAGACCGGATGGTGCGTCCGAGAGCCCTGATGCTGCTCTGGCCCCGTTCTTTTGCTTGTCGGAGAGCCGCTGGGTCCGACTCGCCGGCATGAAACCCCTCGCAGTCTGCGAAGAGGAGTGGCCGGCGTTTGTCGGTGGGAATGGGGTCGCAACAAAGATGGATGTCTGTCGATGTCGCAACGGAGCCTTCCTTGATGCCAATGACGGGAATCATCTGCTCCTCCGGTTGCTGTTTCCCGCCCAAGCGATTGGCGCGATCCCAGGGGTGCATCATGAGGAGATTGATGAGGGCACTCTTGCCGGCGCCCGAGTTTCCCGTGAAAGATGCCAGCATGGGGTAACAGTCAGTGTCCGGCGGCAGGGAATGTCGTTGTCGGTGTTCGTCGACAGCTTGAGGGTACCGCTGATGGTCGAGGAACTCGAAGCCCCCATTCTCGGCTTCGGCGACAGCGAGCCAAAGTGCCTCGCTCTCGGTAGTGTACTGGGCGTTGCGGGTCGTATCATCTTTGGGGTCTAGCAGCCCTTCCAGCCACTCTCTAGTGCTTGTCAGCCATCAGATTCGAGACTTCAGGTGGACTTGGCCTGGTACACAAACCGGTAGATGCGTTCGTCGGTCGCGATCATCTGACGACTTGAGTCATTTTTCCGATGCGCGTTGATCACGTTGCGGCAGGCGTCGCAATAAAACGAGCTACACTTGCTGCAATAGAATGTGCTTGGAGCGTGTTCACACTCCCCGCATACCGGAGCATTGCTTGATGTTTGCGCCATCCCGTTGGTGGTGCAGTCAGCCTGAGCCGAGCTGGTGTTCTTGATGGTTTCAAGGCATATGTACCCAGAAACCCAGAAACAAGTGCAAAGGCTGTTCTGGAATGGAGCGAGATAATGGGGGCGCTTGTCTTCGCGAAGTCCGGTGATAAAGACTGGTTCGTGCTAGAATCGGATCAAGACGCCAACCTAGGAAGAATAATCCAAGCCAGGCTGAGAAAACGTTGGGCCGGGCTGCATAAGGTCTAGCTGGGCATACCTACCTAGCTGAAACGAAAGGGCCGAAAGCGATGTTTTCGTGGCCAATAATAACAAGTAATACAAGCCTTCTTTATGTTTCCTGCCCAAGGCGCGTCACCTCCGCTTCTCAGAAGAGCGGTTTACCGTCTTCAGCATCCTGCGTCGACCTGAGCCTTGGGAACTCTTCGTCCCCCCTCCCGCTCTCTGGACCCCGTTGCCTGTTAACAGCGGATGGAAATAAGTCATTGGTAGTCGCGGTTGAAGATATAACCCCTATTGGTGTCAAGTATAGGGCATTATTGGGGGTGTAAGGAACTGGGGTACACCACAAATAGGCCTGGCGCTGTGGGTAGAGGACATGAGATCGATTCCCGCCGACTCCAATGCTTGACCAGCGGGCTTCTGGTCATCACACCTCGAGCTTGAGCCACAACTTGAGCTATCAGATTCGTGCCCGACTGCCTGAGGTAGCGAGAACGTGCATACCGCCTGTGGTGCTGGGTCTCTGCCTGCAGGTCAGCCCCCAAATTATTGGGTAGGTAGGTAGGCTGCGACTTGTTGGCGGCAAACACTGATGCCGCCGAATTGGCAAGGCCAAGGGAACTGCTATTACCGCTCGAAATGACTAGATGTACAATGGAGTCTCCGCATGGTAGGAACGAACCACCCCGCATCGTAATTCTCGTGGCGAGACGCCCACTCCGGATCGGCGGACTGCGCCATATCGCAGGCCCCCCCCCCCCCCCCCC